AATTTTACCTTTCTGTAAACAAGTTGAACTTAAATAAGGGAGCGAGTTTAGCTTATTATACAAACAAAAAATACAGAACACTCAGCAAACTAATATGGCTTATATTGTCTAAAACAAAATAATTATTACAGATGCTACACAAAATATCATGGCGTTAAGCTCACAGCTGGGGTACTCCAAAATAGCTCAAATAGGTGCGAGACAGTATATCTCCTATCCGGCATTTTGATGTTTTTTTTTAAATCCCTCTTTGGTCACTGCATTATAAGACACCGTGTCTTTAGCAAGGTATAGTGCATTATGGCATTCGTTATTTACTGGGTAGGGTTGCACCTTCCGCACTTCTGGCTTTGTACTTACTTGCTAACTAAATAAACTACTACTGTCTACATTTTAGCTAACTGAATTACTAACTAAATACTAACTTAATATTTAAAACATGTTATTAAAGCAAACCGTAGTTATTAGGTCATAAGCTTTCCGTACAGTCATGCGTATAGTCGCATTGAATGACGTAATAACCGATGAGAATTATTTAAATTAAACTTTTGAAATTCTGCAACTAACGCATCTATATATAACTATCATATGAAAATGAAACAACATTATATTTTTATAGTACAATACATTACAGTCATTCACTACAGATAACGCACATACCTGCATCGCGAGCCTTGAATGCACGCAAAACACACATGAAGTTATCAAAACATTAAACTTTAATTTCTTGTGACTTTAAAACCAAAATATTTCCATATTACTGATGCTGTTTTTCTTTGATATGAATTCGTCTATTAATGCTTCTGAAGCGGCAGACACCATCATCCCACTCGTCTGCGCTTTCCTGTTTGTTTAGTTTTTTTGTGGTCATTTCGCATAGTTCATCTTCCCAATTCTGATTGGGCCATATGAAAGTGTGCTCACTCAGTTGGCTAGTTAGACTGGCGCCATGCAGACATTTGATCTCGGCGTGGGAAATTAAAAAATACATATCTCATATCGCAGCCTCTTGCGATTAGCTAATCGCACCATTTTAAATTGCGATTGCAATTCAATTTCGATTCTAATCTTTAATCAATTATATATGGAACTTCTACACCACCTGACCTTGAAAAAAACACTATATACTGTTAGAGTTTGTACTGATATGTTTTTTTTTCTCACTTGGCAACCTGTTTTAGATCACATAAAGATGGACCACTCAGTTATTTTAGAAGAGTAGAACCTTTTTTCTTGTTTTTTTATTATTTTCTTTTTTTGTTTAATTTTCTTTCCTTTTATATACAAAAGTAAAATTTGTTTTACCTAATATTATTATTTATTTGTATTTTATTTTAATATTATTCATATATTTTTAATAGAACCCAAATGTATGTATGTATGTGTGTTTTGTTTGTTTGTTGTCTAAAAAAGAGAAAGTAAAAAGCTATTTGTAGTGCATGTTTTCATATCTATGTTTAATAAAAACACTTTTGAGAAAAAAAAATCTACCCTGTAAATAATGCTGGGTTGCACACAATCGATTTGTGTTGGGGCAGCATGAAGGAGTTAAGTTAACTTGTTCGTTTTTACAAATTTAGACTGAACATAAAACAAAAACACATAAAAATTGTACTGAACATAAAACAAAAACACATAAAAATTGGACTGAACATAAAACAATTAAGTTGTCTAAAAAAAAAACCCAAGAATTGTATAATTTCAGCTCATTGAACATAGTTTAAAGAAAGAGCAAATTACATTTTTTTGATTGTAGAGGGAAACTAGAGATTTAAAATTATCTTCCATACTAACGTTTGATATATGCATGGTTGAAAACAACACTATATTCATTTACTGCAGATGCTGAACATTTTCGATATGAATATATCTGTATCTGTATACAGCCAGTGACTAATATTTTTCAGTAGAATGGTGTTATAACACTAGCACTGTATAAAATCTGTATATAGGTTTTTTTTTAAAACCTCGTTTTGTTGTCTGTTTGGATTAATAGGCTTATCTGCTGGCAGCAGATTTGACCTACAGGCCCAAAATCTTTGCATGATTGTTCATCCCTCTGTGTTTTGAATATTCTCCATTAAGCTGAGACTGACGAGGCTTTTGCTGGCTCAAACAGCTTTATAGTTTGTCCAATCACATTTTCCTTACAGTAAATGAATAATCTGTTTAATATTAATGAGTACTGGTTGCCCTTTGGCCATAATGTTTGCCTCCAGCACATCAGTTGTTGTGTCGGCTGCTCTGAAGACACATCTAGGTTACAGTATCTGCCATGTTTGCTCCAGTTTCTGAGATGAAGAGCTTTGAGGTGAAGAGCTTTGTGGGTTTTAACCATACTGAAAATGAAATTCCAACCATATACCACATCTATTCAGTAATAAATGTTGGTTAAGCCTGGTTTAGCCAGCTTTTTTAATATTCCTTTGTCATTTGTCTGCACATTTCTGGTGTTAATATTTAATTATCGTATACTTACTTTAAGCCATTTATTTTAATTATTATTTAGTACTTTTTTTTACTAATTTATTGTATAACTTATCATTCATTAACTCAATTCAGATTTTTTGTTATAATAATAATAATTGTTATTGTTGTTGTTAATTTTCGTATTTTATTTAATCAAAAAGGAATATAGACAGTTGAAGTCAGAATTATTAGCCCCCCTTTTTAATTTTCTTTTCTTTTTAAAATGTTTCCCAAATGATGTTTAACAGAACAAGACCATTTTTACAGTATGTCTGATAATATTTTTTTCTTCTAGAGAAAGTCTTATTTGTTTTATTTCTGCTAGAATAAAAGCAGTTTTATAATTTTTTAAGACCATTTTAAGGTCAAAATTATTAGTCCCTTTAAGCTATATATTTTCGATAATCTACAGAACAAACCATCTTCATACAACAACTTGCCTAATTACCCTAACCTGCCTAGTTAACCTAATTAACTTGTTACTTTCAGCTGTATCGAAGTGTCTTGAAAAATATCTAGTAAAATATTATATTCTGTCATCATGGCAAAGATAAACTTAATCAGTTATTAGAAATAAGTTATTAAAACTATTATGTTTAGAAATGTGTTGAAAAAATCTTAAACAGAAACAGAATGTTAAACAGTAATTGTTAAACAGAAATTGGGGGGAAAATAAACACGGGGGGCTAATAATTCAGGGGAGCTAATAATTCTGACTTCTACTGTATATATCCATCTTTTTCAGTATAATGTTTTACATGAAACTACCTATATTAAATTTTCAGTTTGTAATGGTCTATTAGTATTGGATGTAATATTATTGAATCTTAAAACAAAAGTTGTTATATTTAATTTGAAACAATTTTATATGCCACTGTGGTGAGCCCAGTTAAATTGCAGAAAGTAAAGGGGGTCGCACACTAGGTGCGTCACTCAGCGCCATGATGCGCCGTACACATGACAGTTAAAAGTATCAGACACCAGACGCGAACATTTGCATGTCATTTAAAATGAAACTATTCAGATGGCGATTTGTGGTTCGGCAGAAATAAAAATTCTATGTTTGGAATTCTTAAATGCATGGCGCTGAGTGGCACATCGTGCGACGATGCCGAGTGGCATATCTGGTGTGCGACCCCCTCAAGATTTTTTTTTTACTGATAAAAACATATAATATTACTTAAACTGTTTTAGTGATATTTTTAAATGGTAAAGGTTTGTTTCAAATGTATTATTTAATTAGCATTTAATTGCAATTTAACTACTATTTAAGTTTACTAATAGTATATTCTATTATTATTTCTATAAGTATTTTTTCATACATAAGGTGAAGTACTTCTTTTTTTTGTTTAAAGAAGGGTAAACATCGCACAGTATCACACATAATAGTAAAGGGTTCAGATCGGTTCATCATCACCAAAATTTTAATATACAGTATAGTTTGTTTGTGTGAGTGTGTGTTTAAACTTTGATCTTCTTATAGGGTTATCTTTTTTTAAACTATTAATGTTTGTATATTAATTTTTAAAAATCTTGTCTCAGTAAATTACACTTTTTCTGTTCAATTTATTTGACTGTATATACACTCAAGTATATCTGGGTCCCTCATTCTTGACGGGCTTGTTTAACACTGTGTGTGTGATTGTTGGACTGTCCTCTACTATTAACACTCCCACAGTCTCTCGTAGGCCTTTGAGTACGGTTTTCATGGAAACACTAATGTGCAGTGACAGCGTGGTATAGGTCAGTGGTAGAGCTGTCATTTTTTGTATCATTAAACACATATAATGCATACAGAGAGCTAGTAGTTCAGCCACACATTCACAATGCTGCACATTTTCTTTTATGCTATTCATTTCATAAAAAATATTGCCTGAAATATCAGCAAAGCATGCATCACTTTGATGAAATGATCTGGTGGTTAAATCCCTATACACATTTGTAAAATCATGTCACCATCTAAACAATGACATCAACTTTAGGCACATGGAGTACTAACTGTGCTTGGGCACTACCAATTATGGCTTTTGAACTGAAGTGTGTGTGAGTGTGTGTGTGTGTGTGCATGGTATTATAAAGAGATGGTGAACTATGACGACATTGTTGATGTTTCCATATTTCAAAAGGCTTTTAAATCATACAGAATAAGATTTTTTTAGGAAAGTAAAACTGCACACAATTTGCTCTAAAGGGCAATGTTAGGTGTAGACTAATATAACACACAGTTTACACAGCATAAAAACATTTTAAACCAGTGGAATGTCCCCACAATTTACAAAAAACAAAGCTCATTTGTTCAGGAAAGGGTTCTTAACCTTGGTATCCCCTCTTTCATAAACTCATGATTGTTTTTGCTAACCTTCCCCTCATTGATGTCAGTAAGTTCTGCAAGCGCCTTCCTGTGTTCAGTTACGGTACTACAATAACAAATGCTACTAAGTGTAATGCAAACCAATGCACATAACTGTAACGACCTATTTAAATGATTTTTTAAAGGGCTATATTAAACGGAACTGTCTTTTTTCTTTCAGATCTGTCGAAGAATCGCTTAATTGACGTCCCATCAGAGGTGTGTCATCTGGTTTCCCTGGAAACGCTGAACCTTTATCACAACTGCATAAAAAGCATTCCTGACACCATCATCAGCCTTCAGTCGCTCACCTGCTTAAACATCAGGTGAACTGGCACTTACACTCCGAAAGATGAATTATGTTTGCCTCTGGTATTAAGATGTAACTTTATGCTAAATACAAGTGCAAAGAGGGTTTGAGATAAGTTTGAGCTGTCCACTTTCAGACATGGGTAAAAATTAATATGATTGGATTGGTTACATGGTGTTGATGCTTGTGTGGTCGAATGCAGTCAAACAGCTACAAAAGATCACCTACTCTTGGACTACTGACCTTATGCTGAGGAGATGTTTTGTGAGAAAATGTACCAAAACAAGGTTTTCAAATGGTAGTTGGTATCCAGATTGATTTTATTAAGGTAAAGTTGGTTTTACATTCACACATTCGGACTTTCTCCTTCTTAACAATATTTTCAGCAAAGCAAGCCAAATCTAAATGCCAGTGATTATTAAAGTACAACATAGTTCAGTCAAATAAACAGTGCTAATGTTGTTTCCAGTCATATTTACATGTGATTTCAGATGGAATATTCAAAGTACCATGATAAACAATGCAGGGAGCATGTCAGAAGTTGTCAATGAAAGAATGGGGATATATAAAACCAACTTTACCTCAATCGACATATTCACTGTTTACCAGACATGCTTTCATACACAGTAAAGTTGGTTCTATATTAGAAAATAATTATATTTGATATAAAACCAACTTTACCTCAACATTGATTTTCTGCTCACTTGCTATGGGTTAATTTTTCCTAGAATACTCATGTGTTGCACATAGTGGTCCTGTGAGTAAAGTAAAAGGGACGGGTCTCAATGTAATCTAATCACAAGTGGTCTCAAGAAATGCAAGTGCACATATCATGCTAATTATTAGCAATTGTATGCTAATATGAGTTGGAAATAAGGCTTGCGTAATGCTGGTTGACAGCAGAATATTCTGCATGCTGGAACAAGCATAGGATGCTGGAAAGTGGGAGTGTCTGTGTGTGGACCAGCATCACCTGCTCAGTTTTTATCAGCCCACCAGCTAGACAGGACTATAAAAGCTCTAACATGCATAAAGCAAAGACTTTAAACTGAATAATGCTGGTATTGTACAATTACAGTACAGTATTGTAATGATACTGTAGGAAACTCAATGCAATATGATGGTTTTACCTTATAGAGGAAAGCTCAGGTTGACAAAATGAAATAAGATCTCCCTCTTTACTCGTTATTGTTATTAGTCTCATTATTACACTCATTATAATTATTAATATTATTAGACTTCAAACATTTTTTACAAATTAAAAAAATGCTAACTAATAACATTTAATCACAACATGCCTAATAAAACACAGAGCAAGTAAGCAATAAATAAATACGTAAATAATTAAGAGACAACATTGTAGCATGCAATATTAATTTTCATAGAATATCTTGTCTTACACAATCAAAAGTGGTCAAAATTTAAATTAATAAATAAATATACAAGAGAAATTTAAATACATATTTAATAGATTAAAACAGATAGCGAAGACATAAGGATTATTATTTTATTATTAATTTTATTATAATTTATTATTATTATTATTTTAATTATAATGATTTAATAAAATAATCATAATGATTCAAATGATCAATGTTTCAAATGCAATAGAATCCTGAAATAAATTGCAGTTTATTTACATTATAGTTATATATATTATAGTTAATTTAATAATATTTTATAACAGTTTCAACAAAAATATTATGCAGCAAAATCATTGTTTATGGTTGTTTTCAACATCAATAATAAAAAAGGCTTCTTGAGCACCGAATCTACCTATTATAATGTTTTCTAAAGGATCACATGACATTAAAGATTGGTGGAATGGTGCTGAATACTAAGCATTGACAAAACAATAATGCATGTAATTTTAAAATATATTTACAGTTCATTTAAAGTGTAATATTATTTCATAAGATTGTTGTCTGTAATGCATTTTTAACCAAATACATTAATCAGATTGTTGAGCATAAGACACCTCTTCAAAATTTTCAAAAACATCATACTGATATTTTAGCAATATTGTAATTGGTATGCTAGTATTCTTTTCCAAATATACTGCGATATTATATTACTGTATTTTAAGTAAATCAGTGAAGTAAACCTATAGGCATGTTTTTTCCCCTTCTGTGAGGTTGTTCCTCCTGCTTCTCTTTACATTTATTAAATAAATACAGCCACACACTGTAAAATGTATATGCGATCTGTTTGGGTTTTCTCTTTCCAGCCAAATGTCTCCTGCAAAAGCTCTGATAATTCACACTGTTAATTAGCAGTGGAATTCGCTTCGTAAGAAGTTAATGGAGCACTAAGCTTTTTTAACAGTTGAGAAGAGTGAACTGGAGATTGAAAATCAAGCTTATGTAAATTGTGGTTGGAAGATAGTCATGAGGATGGAAACACCAAAAGAAAGTAAAAATGGACTCAAAGATTTCTGTATTTTTTCCCTTTGGTCTCTCTTTTAATAACCCACACACACGCACACACACAAACAGACACACACAGACAAACACACTAAACAATGTTTGTCTGTCATCCTCCAGGCATAACAGGCAAAGTTTGTGTTGCTATTACTTCTCCTGAACCCATGAACAATTCCCTGAAGTCAATCTTTTTCCTGTTTAATATTATACAGGCAAATGATGAAGTGCTACAGGAAGGTTAGGGCTTTTGCGTGAGCAAGAAAAACTGATTATTTATCATTTATATTTGGATATAAATTTTTTATGAGTACTGCACATAAAGTTTTATTTATTGTGACGATAATATATTCAGTGAAAGTCAAAATTGTTCCGTGAAATTGTAGTCAATTTAAAAATATTTTCCAAGTGTTGCTTTATGGAGAGAGTATTTTTTTTCAACACATTTTTAAACATAAGACACTCTTACTATAAAACCTTTTTCTTATTTACCTAGATACTTTTGGACTGTTGGGCAAATTACAGGATAGCATTAATTTGTCATGTAGACATAATTAAATATTTCCTAAGAGGTTGGCATAAACATAACAAAAATAAAAAAAAGGTGAAGCTCTGTGAAGACTTTCTGTGAAGATTAGAGGTTTATATATATATATTAACGTTTCATCATTTAATATTGAATATTATTAGAGGTTTATATATATATATATATATATATATATATATATATATATATATATATATATATATGTATACATACAGTTGAAGTCAGAATTATTAGCCGACCTGAATTATTAGCGCCCCTGTTTATTTTTTCCCCCAATTTCTGTTCTGTTCTGGGAAGATTGTTTCAGCACATTTATAAGCATAATAGTTTTTTTTTTTAATTATTTCTAATAACTGATTTATTTTATCTTTTCCATGATGACAGTAAATAATATTTAACTACATATTTTTCTAGACACTTCTATACAGCTTAAAGTAACATTAAAAGGCTTAACTAGGTTAATAGGGTGAACTAGGCAGGTTAGGGTAATTAGTCAAGTTATTGTATAACGATGGTTTGTTCTGTAAACTTTCGAAATAAAAATTAGCTTAAAGGGGCTATTAATTTTTACCCAAAATGTTTTTTAAAAAATTAATAACTGCTTTTATTCTAGCTAAAATAAAACAAATAAGACACACATACATACATACAAATAAGACACACATACATACATACATACATACATACATACATACATACATACATACATACATGGATGTGTGTGTGTGTGTGTGTGTGTGTGTGTTTGTGTGTGTGTGTGTGTGTGTGTGTGTGTGTGTGTGTGTGTGTGTGTGTGTGTGTGTGTGTGTGTGTGTGTGTATTTATATAGATATAGTTATTTATATATATATAAAGAAAGTAATTTAATTAAAAGATAAATGTGGTTAAAACAAATTTTTGTTTTCTCAGGTCACAGGTAAAAGCATAAATGGATAAAAAAGAAAAAAAAAGTAAACCACTGTAAAAAAAAAACGGGCTTTAAGATTCTTTAAAAATCTAATTTATAATTATTAAACTGGTGGTGCAATCAGAAAATTGTATTCTGTCCAATAGTTTGGCTATCCTACAGATTTTTAAATTAAAAATATTTAATATCTTCATCGCAATACTAAAACAGTTAGTGCAGTTCCAAATTTAAATATTTCTAAAATTTCCCTCACTTATTAAATCAATCAATAAAAGCTGTGATTTAACAAATTGTAATGAGGTTGTCCTGATGAATCCTGCTTGAGGAGTAGCTTTAAAACAAAGCTTGTTTTCCATCATTGTTTCTGTAGCCGGAACCAGCTGTCAGTGCTGCCAGCTTGTGTGTGTGGTCTTCCTCTGCGAGTGCTCAACGCCAGCAATAACAAACTCAACGCACTTCCAGAAAGCATTGGCCAGCTCACCAATCTCATGGAGCTGGTAAGTGTGCGCGTGTGTGTGTGTGCGTGCGTGTCTGTTTGTGTATGTGTGTGTTAAAACTGTACCTTTGATGTCCCTATATATGAAATGCTTGGTTCGTTAATTTTCAACTTCATTTTACTCCTATCCACTCTGCTTCATGTTGACTCATATTGATTGTTTCTTCGGTTTTCTGTTTGTTAATGTTGGTATTAGCCATCATTTGTACAGTACAGAATGCCCCCTCATATACTGTACAACAAGCACTTTTTCTATGTTTCCCCCATCAGGATGTCAGCTGCAATGAAATCACAGCTCTTCCACGCCAAATTGTCCAGCTCAAATCATTGAGGGAACTCAATGTGCACCGCAACCTTCTCTGTGTCCTACCAGAGGGTGAGTCTATTTGAAGAGTTTGTATTCTTCCTACACCCTCCTTATCTCTGCAGAAAAGATTTCAGCTTCTCTGATACTGTAACTTCACTACTCATCACATTACCCACACAAAACGTCCTCCGGTGCTTCACTAATACAGGAAATCTGGCCCTTGTTTGACCTCTGCTTCGCACCAGCCTCCAAATTCAGGCTCAGAGTTAAATAGAGGGTTGGTTCACTCAGAAATGAAGGGTTTGCCATCGTGCTTTTGCAGAGATTTCTGTTCAATTTCTAAATAAAAGTGAATATATTTTTAGTGTAATCTAGTGTAATCTTTTATGTTCCTCCATTGAAAGTTTATGTGACCAGAACATTCAAAACATTCGTAAAAGAATTGTAAACTAAGAAATCTATGATTAGTTCTTTCTTGCATTAAGGAACACTTTATTTTTTGTCTTTGTTTTGTAACTCATACAACTCTCCTAGAGATTTACTATTTTTTGATGCATTCAGCCAAGTTATGGTCAGGCGAAAGCACTTTTAGCTTAGCTTAGCTTAGCTTAGCATCAGTCATTGAATCAAATAAAACCTGTTATATATGCAGCATTGTTACCTAGCTAGCAAATGTTCAGGCTATTTTTGTAAGGCATTTTGGGTTATTTTCAGGTGCTGCATAATCTAAATGGGCCTGCTGCAGTAGCAAATTTCCTTGATTTTTACAGCAGAATAAGATTATAATGCTTAGCCATACTGACCTAAGATTAGCAACTTTTTTTTCCTAGTCTTAATACCCGATGCAACTACAGAATAGTCAAGCTTTAAATAGGCGAATTATCTTTTTTGAAATTTTTGAGCTAGATGCTAATGGTCCAATCTGATTCAATGATTTATGCTAAGCTAAGCTAAAAGTGTTCCCGCCAGACCAGAAGATCGATTAAATTGATTAACATGTGCCAATTTCCAAAATAAGAAGAGTGCATGAAAGTGTTGGTTGAAAGGACTTTTAGTGGAGGTACAGAAATCTGTCCGGTATGGTTACAATTTTCTGCTAATAATAGTTAATTTAAATTTTTTTCTTGAGTGTGTTTTGTGCTGTATCTAAGGCTATGAAATCAGTTATACATTTATAGGCCTTAAAACCACAAGCAAGTAAAAAAAAGTTCACTCTATTAGGGTTAAACTTTGCATTGACTCCACACTAATCTGAAGTCAGGTCCTGATCAATTATAGTCCCAATTTAGCTTTGCAGATTCTGAGATGTGACTATTGCAGATGCACACATTGTGATATTGATTGTGCAAACCATAATTCTTACTATTTTTAAAGTTCTGTAAAGGTCTGTAAAGACCTTTAAAGGTCTGTAAAGTTTCAGTTCAAAACACCCTCAGATTTTTTTACTATACATTTTATAAGATTCTATTTTATACATTTTTGTACTGAGTGGTGGTTTTGCTGTACTGCGCCTTTAAGGCTAGTCCTCCCCGCCTACGTGCCTTTCTGCGTGCTTTATTCTCCTCCCTCGGTTGCGTCAGACAACAGACAGACTTAAAGGAAGCAGATCTCACGTAGTGTTTGTGAGAAATACTACAGTAAGAACTTTACCAATTAGTATTTAATGCATTTGTTGTGTTAAATTGCAACGATGAGTCGCACACAATGTCGTTACAAAGTTCACGCGCACACACACAGATACACACACACACATACATACACAGTGCGGACACGACACACATACACACAGACAGCGCAAGTTTAGCTTTGCACTCTTTTTGCACGCAAATGTGACAGGATACAGGCTAATCTCTGCTGCTGTATAAATATCTGTTATGTAATGTACAAAATAAACCTGATTTAACGTCCACTAACCGGGACTGAAGCATCTTCTTTTAATGTTCTGACACACGGCTGTGCTGATGAAGTAAAGCTGAAGTAAATCGCTGCAATTCATTACACACATGCACTGTTTTAAAACATTTTAAACTTGTAAAACTCACCCTGGATCACATTTGATGATAATTGATGATCCTAGCAAACTGGACAGACCTTTTATTCCTGGTTGCTTTGCGCTCGTCCTCTCTTGTTGATATGATTATACATGTGAATACCGGCACATGTTAATACTTAGCTGTCAATCTATTCAGTGGGTGGGTTACCGCACTCCTACGTCAAGTAGTGGTCGATCTGAAAACTGCTCCAATTGGTCCACCGTTTTTGTGTTGTTAAAGTGAAAAAAAAAAGGACTCTGAGTGTTTATATCACCCCATAATGATGGTCTATACACTATATCTACACATATGTCTGTCCAAACAGCTTGAAAAGTAGATTTTTCACCATAGGTGCCCTTTAAATTATTTTTCACAGATTTTTGTTATGCCACTCAATGAGTGTCTTAAGAATGATACTTGTGATTTAAAACACTGCACATCTAATGCTAAAAATGCTAAAAGTATTGTATCAAACTGGCCAGACTGCTTCAACTGTGTCATTTAGTATTTTGTAACCACAGATTAACTACAGATTGTAACAAAGCCAAACAAAACCCTCAGTCTAGTTTTGTATTGACGAAAACATATAATCTTACATGAACATGCCAAGCTTTTGACAGGCACAAAAAAACGAGAGCACATTACACCTGTACTTGTTTCCCTACACTGGCTGCCAATCCAGTTTAGAATTCAGTACAAAGTTCTGTTGTATGTTTTTAAATCCCTCCACGGCCTGGCCCCTGAATATATCTCTGAGCTAATTATTATGCACCAACCTGTGAGATCTCTTCGCTCTATGGATCGTCTCTATTTGCAAGTTCCTAGATCACGCTTAAAATGTCGAGGGGATAGAGCTTTCTCAGTAGCAGCTCCAAGACTCTGGAACAATCTCCCACTCTTTGTAAGAACAGCTCAAACTTTCGAGTCGTTTCAGAGGTCACTGAAAACACACTTATTTTCTTTAGCTTTTAATCATGTGATATGAGTTTATGTATTTTGGTTTTATGTATATTTTACATGCTTTTTTATTTGATTTTATGTACAGCACTTTGGTAATCCATTGTGATTTGTGAAAGTGCTATAGAAATAAAGTGAGTTGAGAGTTGAGTTGAGAACACATCATTCCTATTAAAATATATTATTATAAGTTGTTCTGAGGAAAGTTGTGGGTGTGCTTCTTTAAATACCAGAAAGAATACATTTTGGGTTGTAAGTGCTAAAAAAGTGTGCACGCCAAGCATTGTCTAAAACATGTGGATGGAGTTATATCAACAGCTTACCTTGGCAATAAAAGATCTGTGACTGAGATTTTGCAACTCAACTTATTCAGCTAAATTATGCTGACAGGTTGTGAAAAGTGAGATCTGCAATGGTCTTTCCAAGCACATTGTGCCAAAATGACCTCATGGAGATAAAGCTTTAATCAAGACTGCCTGAGAAATCTGCTAATTTGATTCGGTGATTCAGCCTTTTGGTTCCCAGAACTAGTGAATAACATTTATTAATGCCTATTAAAATTCAACAATCTAGTGTTTTATGTAGCAGATATGTTTTTAGGGTACAATTTTATGTGATATGCTGTAAGTGCTCTATCGAACTTTAAAATAAAACCAACATACTAAGGAAGAAAGTCACTTTTTTTTTTAAATAAGAAAATACTGTAAAAGCAATTTCCATATTATTGTGTTTAAGATAATTTAAACCTTAAACTTTATTTTACATTTTATAACTTGGAATTGTTGCTCATACAACTTTATTTTTTATTTTTTATTTTTGAGTTTATCTTTACCCTTTTTTGAAAGAAAAAAAATAAAGAAATCTAATATTTTATGCAGCTGATGTTTTTATACATTTAAAATGCTATCATATTTTTTTGTATCAACTTTCTAAACGCTGTCTACTTTTTGCATTTCATGAGCTGATGTTTGCAGATGTTTCCTGTTTCCCTCCTGTTTCAAACTTTTGACAGCCTCCTCTGTTTTGAAATGGATTCAGTTTAATGTGGTTTGGTAAGTTTGTGTTTGTGTGTTTTAGATTTGGCAGATCTACCTCTGGTCAAGTTTGATTTCTGCTGTAATAAAGTTTCTACTATTCCTGTCTGCTATCGAAAAATGACCCAGCTCCAATCCCTACAGCTGGAGAACAATCCACTTCAGAGTCCTCCTGCACAGGTACAGCAATACACACTCACTCACGCTCAAATATGTTACATGCCCATAATTGTTTCTGGCATTATTTTTGCTGCTTTCAGATCTGTATGAAGGGCAAGATTCATATATTCAAATACCTCGCCATGGAGGCGTGCCGGAGTGACAAGATGGCTGATGCTCTGTACCTTCCTGTCACTGACCGCCTCAGCTTGACACGACCCAGCAATGGGAGGTCAGTACAAACCGCAAAATAAAATAATTTTTTTCAGAAACTGAACAAAGTTGAGAAATGTTATGCTTAAAACAACAATACACATTTGTCAATGCAGAATTAAAATTACTTTTCTGATTTAAACTTGCTCACAGTTTACTTGGCCTTAAGTGGTTCCAAAAGAAGATATATTGATTCACATCCATTGTAGAAAAGAAAAAAGCAGCACTGGTAGTAAATAGCTACTGGTTGCAAAATTCTTTTTTAGAATATTTTTTCATTTTCAGTTTCATTTTTGGCTGAACTATACCTTTAAGTTGGGTTTTTAAAGGCCTGTGACCCATTGTATTTTTATTATGAATTTAATTATTTATTTAATTTCAACAATTTTTACAGAAAAATAAATTAAATGTTTCTTTGGAAGTAAATGTATCTTAACTATCTTAATACATTTGCACTGGAAAACAAGGCAAAATGGTTGAAAAAAAGCACCAGTTTTCCAAAAGTTGGAAAGTAATTTCCGTATAATACTGTTTAGGTATTTTTGATGCAATAAAAACAAGTATCTAAGTGCTTAAATTGAATGGAAATCCAAATAAAGCCTAGACTACGGTGCCCGAGAAAGCCCAACATGCTGCAATTTAAGACAACACATGCAATTACAAAAAACGCCAGCAAATTAAGAACAGATCTTCATCTGTTTGACAGCACACATGCTGCAAAAACTCAATAAAAAAAAAAAAAAACATGCTGCATTTTCTCACTAAGCAAACAATTCTTATAACACTTTAAAAATTGCCTGGAACACAATAGAAATATTTTAAGAGGACCCTAGGCTGATTTATACTTCTGCGTCAAGCGCACACGTATGCTACGGTGCAGCCTATGCGTGGATACACGCTCCTCGCCGTCGCTAACATGCAACTCTCAAAAAATTTAAATACATGTCGCAAGGACGCGTAGCACAAGCACTGTGATTGGTTGGCTAGGTAGCACTGACGAGTGTGGGCGGAGGTTAGAGCTGTGTGGGCCCATTGCAACTATTGTTTACAAGTGTGGAGTCCCGTGCAGGAGCTCCGGATGGAAACTGTTGTTTTGTGTTTACCTTATGATTAAAGTTGTTGCACGTCCGTCGATTCCAGCCTCAAAATGAGCGAGTTCGAGCCACTTGTACATTAAGCTAGCGTTCAACACCAGAGAAGAACTCGACACAGAGAAGCATAAACACCTGCTGCCAGCTAGCGTTCCGGAAGTGTTATTGCAGAGTAACAGAAACAGTATAAATTCTCGGCTATGCGCATTACATGCGCCGTGGGTCACGCCGATCACTTGATGCATGAGTATAAACCAGGCTTAAAACGTGACAGACCTGGCTATTTAGGTTATGGTTATTTAGGCTAATAAAATACAGAAGACAAGGGAATAAGGATGTTCGTTTATTTATTTATTCAAATTTTTGAACAGGAAGAGATTAAATGATAATCGGGCCTGGCTCAGCATGAATGCTGTTTTTCAGCAGGTTCCTGCTCTGCAGAACATAACATACATACACCCTTAACATCTCATCCATCAACACATGAGAACAGTACAAACAATCATCAAGCATACAACAGGAAAAGAGACAGGCTACATTTCTCAGTGGCTACAGCGATAGTTGACCATCAGATGACGAGCATGGGATTTTTTAATCAGTCTCAGTGTTGGAATTGTTTTTAGATGTTGTGGGATCTCATTCCAGGCTTTTGTGAATGCATAAAAGTAAGACCTCTGTCCATAAGCCAGTACGGTAAACATCCATTTGTTGCAGATCTGGTGGATGATAATATATTAGGTTATGGTAACAAAACACAAAGGGTTGCTTAGGTAGCACTATTTAAAGTTTGATAGTAGAGTTTAATCCCTGTGTTCATAATATAATTTTGATATGTTAAAATAAAGAAACAAAAAACTCAACTTTCAAAGATCACCTACAACTTCACTGAGCAATGGTCACGGCACAGTGGTGTATGTCACATTTTTGGGTTGACTTAAAACCTTTTCGTTGTGTCCCGATGTTTTTGCAAGTGTTAACAAAATGTAGCGTGCTTTCGTACATTTGATCCCTGAAGTTTCAATTTATAAATAAAAAAGAAATTGATAGAAACGTGTTTTATTTATTGAAAAAAAAAATCAATATTCTATTTTCTTTTTTCTGTTATATTGCAAAAATATGATTACAGTGAGAAGTGGACAGCAGCCTGGTATCATTAATGAGATATTGAATGTTTCTACATTCTGAATATTTGCAATAATACATTTGTACATAATGCTTGCATACAGTATATCGTTTTTCATGCCAAATTGTAAACCACTGGATGTGTGTATAAAAGATCAGAGTGTAGAATTTAGTGAGGAGATCAAAGAAAAAAAAGAAAAGAAAGAAATTCAGGTCATGCGTGTATGTGTGTTGGCTGTCATTATCATCCTTATCCCACGAGAATTCTTTTAATAGACTGCAGGGGGTCACTCTTGATGGAGAGAGAGAAAGAAAGAGACTGAAAGACATAGGCTGCTCTTCTCTTTCTGTCTGTCCTCTGCAACCCTTGTTAACTTTTAATTTTCCTTCTGTGTCAGCACTGAGGACATCGATCAGCACAAGAAACTTGACAGTGACTCTGGAGTGGGAAGTGACAATGGAGACAAACGACTTTCTGCTACAGAGGTCAGTTCGTGTGTGTGTGTGTGTGTGTTTAAGAGAAGATCTCAACCATCTTGTCTGTTCTTGGCATATTTTCATAACTTTTTTATGCATTGCTTTTAAATGTGCAGTACAGTTTTTCATCAGTGCGCACACATTTTAATGACACTATTTAAGGCATGCGGCTGTGTCTGGGCTGCAATTAATAAAAGATACATTTTGTAGAACTGAAATCATATGTTTCAGGGACAAAGGTTTGATAGCTGGTATCTTGCTGATGTCATGTAGCTTGCACAGTATCATTGACACGGCAGTAGTATTTGTAATTCATTGTCCAGATGTCAGGACAGGACATGTGTGATTGGTTTTTCTGTAGTGTAGCCCCGCCCATAGTGAAATCACATTGGTCCAATATCCCGCTCAAAGTATTTGTATGTTAAACATTAACTTTTATGCTTTAAACATTAGCTATAATTGCTGTCAATGCAGTGTGTTGCACAAGGCAAAGCTTTTTTTTAACTGTGTGATTAGATAGGCTATTTGATGTTAGAAATATATTGTTTCATAGCTGAGATGATACTTACATATTTATTAAAGTATACTTATAATAATTATTATTAATCATTCATTCATTTTCTTTATGGCTTAGTGCTTTTATCAATCAGATGTCGCCACAGTGGAATGAACCGCAAACATATTCAGCATATGTTTTAGGCAGCGGATGCCCTTCCAGCTGCATCCCAACACTGGGAAACACCCATACACTCTGGCATTCACACACATACACTACAGCCAATTTAGCTTATTCAATTCAACTATAGTGCATGTCCACTGTACTACTGTGATTCCCTTAAAAATAATAATAATAATAATAATAATAATAATAATAATAATCATTATTATTATTATTATTATAAATTTTATCACTACAGTCTGGTAGTATGTTTTGGTCAGCCTGATCTCACGAGGAAACAACTATTTTACGTTTTTTCTCAGTTCAGTGGCAAATTCGTACAAACTCATATTTTAGTCGTATGAAAATGTATGATTTTAACAAGGAGGTGTGGCACTCAACCCCACCCCTAAACCCATCTGCAATAGAGGGATAAGCAAATCATACTAAATTGTATGAATTTGGTAGTACAAATACATACGAATAAGCCACTAAATGTAAAAGTTACGAATTGCCGTAAGATAGCATTGGTTTTGGTTGATTTTAACTAATTGATTAAAAAAAAATCTTGTTGCGATAATTGGTGAAGCTTTTATCACAATACACTATATTATAACAAGTTTGACATAAGCTGCAAAAAAAGGCTACTTAACTATAAACAGGCAACAAGACTGGAAAATGATAAGCAAAATGTAATTTTATATCAGTTATTTTTATATCATCTTAACCAAAGTAAAACATATCTAAAGGAATTTTGCAAAAAGTTGATTTATTTAGGAATTTATGAGTTGAATCTCCCAGGATGCATTGCTTAATTAGCAAATCAGTATTATTTATTTTTTGTTTGTTTGTTTGTTTGCAGCATTTCTGACTTCCCTTTTTACTTTAATACTTGATAATTGATTTAATTATCAATTGTAAACTGTGTAAACAACAGATTTAATCTAAACCTATTATAATTGTTTCATCACTGTTACAAATAACAATAAATGTCCTTTTTAAATGTGTAATAACAAGTAAAATGCAATATTTTACTGTATTGCTTTGGTGAAAAATAATGTTCAGAGGAAACATATTTCAAACTAATTTGCTAAAGATTTAGGACGTACAAAGATTTACACTTTTTTTAATAAGTTAAATAAGTTCATGCATCAACTAACATCAACAGTACGACATATCTACATATGTTACAGACGTTATGGTGAAAATATTAGTAAAAAAATACACTATTTATTATTTATTATTACATGACTTTCTCTAAAACTCTAAAACTAATAACACAAACTTATCAGGGTACCTGAAAACATTTTGTCTATCAGTGAATACATTCGTATCCATATTTATATTTTTGTCTGTCATGTTGCTGTTGACTATTTGAAGCCATATTGTGACTGAATAATATGTAGGTTAGTGTATGCACTATTCAGCCGTTTCTCTCAGTTGTGCCTCTAAAGAATTAATAAGCTCTTGTCTCAGAGCAATGTTTTTTGTCAAATTTCTATATTTATATATTTGTATAAGTACTTCATAGAAGTATTTTATTAAATATTTATTTAAGTACACAGAGGCATTTGTTATCAAGGGTCTTTCGGGCTTATACAATAGTCCTCTAATTCGCTCATATACTTTATCCTTTACATACTTTATTTTCAAATAATGACACCTTTTAAACAGTGTGTATTTTTATTCTTGTTGTTTTAGATGTTGTGTTTTTGCATTCCAGCCATCCGATGAAGACAGTCTCAGCTTGAATGTGCCCATGACCAACATCACAGAGGAGGAGGGATTGAGTAAAGACGACTCTAGTGAACACATCAGCGGCCTGACAGGTGCTGCTCACACACACAAACACACACACACCCTCATGGGTTACACAGGATAAGCCTGTAAAGAAAACATCCTCTGACTGAACTGACACAACATCACAGTGATAATATAGACGTTTGTGTGTGTGAGTGAGTAAATGAGATAGAGGGAGAGAGAGAAACCCAGGTTAAGTAAAGGGGAGGGTCCCTGACAGGAAGTGTGGATTCTGGCTGGGAAGTGAGTGTCAGCACATAAGGAGAATTAATGAAGGAGGAGATGAAAACTGAGAACACTGCAGGAAGAAAGAGAATGTGTGCGTGTAAGTGTGTGGTGCTGGTATTCACTACATTATACACTATACCTGTATATACTTGACTACATTATACATTATAAACCATATATGTATATACTTGACAGGTATAATATTATACTCTAAAAATATTGTAATTAAGTAAAACAGTGATTTTGACCTTGTTTATTTATTCTATTTACTTATTTATTTGACATGGAAATCACAAATACACTGGACAACCAAATGCATGTAGCAGACTTGCTAATTCTCAACACCTGTCCACAGGAGGCATGAAAAAAATGGACAAAATGGAAATATAATAAATACATATACACAACATTATAATGCTTTACATAAAATTACTGAAGGCAAAAGTAAAGGCGATATGATCCGACAAAATAATAGTAGACTATTTGTGCAAACACTGCTGTTTTGTTTTTAACCACTTTTTAAAATCACCACTGAAAACATTTCTATTACTTTCTGATTTTAAGCTAACAGGTAAATCACTCCACAGTTTGGCTCCCTTTACAGAGGAAACAGATTGACCAAAACAGGTCTTACACTTTTTCACTAGACCGTCACCATTAGCAGTTGCCCATGTGACTAATTTTTGCCCTTGTCTTGACATTATATTTATTGGTGCTCATAAGGAAAATGCTCATAAACAATACAGAGTTTTTGTCATTGAAATAGATAGATGTTTTGATGCATGAAATGGGCTAAGTTCAAAAACACACATGTATTAAAATGTACTAGCTCATATATAAAGATAGACTTTTCATTTGAATATTGACTGATGCTATGGTGAATATTCTGGTATTTTTAAACGGTTCGAATATGATATCAGTGTAGGTTTTTGTGTCAGGATTTATCGAATTAAATTGGTGTCAGGATTTATTAAAGACATGCTGTCAAAAAATAGGGCTGAAAAGGCATGTATGGGTTTTTTGCTTCTAAACTTGCATGCATTTGTTGGAGTTTACCTTTCAGACACAACATTTATAAGAGGAGGATATTTAATTGATCATGCAATGTGATTTACTATGGTTTGTGTTAGTCAATTTACAGATTGTGTGTAATTGTAGTCATATTTTTTGTATTCTGTAGGAGACAGAAGTTCTTCTGAATCTCTGAAGGATCACCTGAGTTATCGAGATTCTGCCCTTAGTTCACCATTCGTAAACTATATTAAAGTAAGTGTGGTCATTGCTATTTTTCAATGTGTGTGAGTTATCAGATGTTTATTTATGAGGTTGTTTTACTCCTCCCAGGTGTGTTTAGATTGGGTTCATGCACATTTTTTTTTTTACATTGTTATCGTTTGGCTACAATTGGGTGGGTGGAAAGGAACTGAGCCTTAAAAAAACATTAAACATTGGCTAGTAAGTTGGTTTGAGCTGTTGTTGTTGTTTTGAAAACGTAACCTGATGGTGTGTACATTATTCTATGCTGAACCAGCAGATTTGAGTAATTTTTCTGGTAATTTTCTCAGGTTTGAAAAATACAGTACATAATGGCACCATAACTGGCACCACAGCCCCCATTGTCCACAACAATGTTATTAGATCCTCAATTTCATTTTTGGTACCTGATTTCTGATTATTATGAATGGAAAATGATTAGAGAGGATTTTTGAAAATGTGTTTTTCTTAAAATGTATCTTTAAAGGAAGCAAATGGGGTTTATGTTTAAAAATAGACATTTGTTTACCTTATATATCCAGTTTTTTCATATCAAAGTATAGTGTTATGATTATTATATTATTATTATTAATAATAATAAATCTGCATGTTTAATTGTAATATTTCTAAAATTCTAATACATGTTTTCATGTTTATATTATTTTAAAGCGAAAGTTCACCCAAAAACAAAAAGTTTGTAGATATTTTACTCACTCTCTGGCCATTCAAGAACAACAAACAAAGGATTTTTAGCTGAAACTGTTCATAAAGTCAATGGATGCTAGCACTAGCACTGCGAGTAAAAAAAAACTCCTGATGAAGGATTAATATCTTTGGCAGTTAAGCCACCAGTCTATGCATAGTTGGAGGAACTAAGTCACCTACAGATAAAGTTCCCACAGATAAACTTTGCTGAGGTAATGCTGATGTAAAAGAGGCATGTGACTCTACACATTTATTATAGGTTTGTATATTCATGTGAAAGTTTCCTCCTTTAATACGTATTATGGGTTGATCTACTTTAAAACTGGTCTAATATGTTTTTCTTTGTATGGCATTTTTATTTAATTTGCCTTTTCACTATTACAATCACAGCTGGAGTATTTTAAATGTTTGCTTCTGTAATTTAGTATAAATCTTTTTCTGTCTTTATCAGCCCCATTTCTTTTTTTCTGTTCATTTCTTGTCAGATTAATCAGCTGCCTCTCTTGGCATAGCGCTTTATGTTCCAGTAACTGTTAGTTTATCTGATAACGTCTCATTGCATCATGAGTTTGGCACAGACAGTGTTTATTTGTGCATTAGCATTTCACTTGTGAAGTCATCCACGTCTAGAGGGACATTGTTTGTATGAGGGGTGTGTGTCTGTGTCATTCCCGTGTGTGTGTGTCGGTGTGTGTGTGTGTGTGTGTGTGTGTGTGTGTGTCACCATCTCAAACAGGCATGGGTGAATAAGGTTGATTTTAAATTCTAGCAAATCAGGCCTTTTCTCTGCAGTCACATGACAGAGTTTGCAGCTGGAGTTAATTGTGTATGTGTGTGTGTGTGTGTGTGTTTGAAGGGTCGAGGTGCTGACTTCGACGAGCCCCTCAGGATAGAGGAAGACACTAATTGGGTTTCAGAACAAACGTATGTTTATCTTCTTATTTTTATCATCAGATCCTTTTCTTCCTGTTTTTATGATGATCTGTTTTTCCTGTTCCTGTCCCCGACTGGGTCTAACAGGGCAAAAGTCAATATGATCAATCAGCTAAAGGAAGCTGTGGAGATGCTACAGGATCCTAACAGGTAGGTCAGTAGGCGATGGCTGGGGTGTTTCTTTATTAATTCCACACATTTTATAAGTTAGCAATTTTGTGTCAATTTTGTGTCAATCTCAATGACAACACATTTCAAACTCATTGTCAATAAAAAAATGCATTTCTTTGAGTTTTTTTAATATCTTATAATTGTGATATATATATGCATTTGAAGTCAAAGTTATTAGCCTGTGATTTTTTTTTTTGTTTGTTTTTTTTCAAATATTTCACAAATTATGTTTATATATATATATATATATATATATATATATATATATATATATATATATATATATATATATATATATATATATATATATATTTTTTTTTTATTTATTTATTTATTTTTTTCTGGTGAAAGTCTTATTTTTTATTTAATTAATTTAATGTAAGTAAAAATATATATAAAAAATAAAAATAAGAAAAAATATTGTTTCAATATTATTAGCCCTCTTAAGCATTATTCTTTCTACAGAACAAACCATCATTATGCAATGCCTTGCTTAATTACTCTAACTTGTCTAACTAATCTAATTAACCGATAGTTAAGCCTTTAAATCTCACTTGAAGCTGAATACTAGTAAATATCTAGTAATATATTATGCACTGTCATCATGACAAAGATAAAAGAAATCAGTTATTAAAACTATTATGTTTATTTTATAGCAAAAATTGTGTTTCTGTTAAGCAGTAATTGGGGGAAAATGTACAGGGGAGCTAATAATTCAAGAACGCTAATAATTCTGACTTCAACTGTATACATAGTCAAAACTGTAAAAAAACAACAACAGACAATTAACATTAATTTTTCTGTGAAGTTGCTTTGAAACAGTGTATTGTGCACTTGTAAATAACATTGAATTGTTTGTGTTTGTATGCAGGGTTAACATGAACTCTGCTGATCTGTCTGGTATTAAACTCTACCCTGTGGAAATGGTTGCAGTAGACGACTCACTCAAGTAAATGACTTTAGCATCACAGATTAGATTTTTCACATTGAACTTAAAACAGTGGTGATTGACTAGAATATGTGCATGTGTGTATGTATGTATATATAGGGATATCCAGATCTGATGAAAAGATCTGAAATCCGGTATGATCACATGGTTTCTGACTGGAACGAAAGCTGACGTTACCTCCCAATCAGGACTCAAATATATGTGTATATTATTGATATTCGTATAATTTTTTAACATCTCTATATTTATGCGGTGACCGAGAGATAGATCTCTTTCTTGACTTCAAAAAACAGCAACACGTGCGGCATGAGTATCGGATTAAGTATCGGTTAAGTATCGGATCAGGTTTTGGTATCGGTAGATACTCAAAATCAAATGACTCCAACTCAAGAGCAAAAAAAAAACTGATCGGCACATCTCTAATATGATGATGATAATAATATATAGAACCGTTACGGTGCAGACATACAGTACATACAGTAAATAACGATGTAGAACTAATATTTTTAATGTTTGTTTAAGGTTTTAACACAATAATAACAACTGCACTAAATTGAACATACTAGTCTTTATAATGTATTTTTTCAACCCTGTAATTTTACTTTTAAATAAAAAAAGTGTTTATTAATTTGGATACTAAACTGATAACCTATTAGAGATCAGCTTCCAGATCCCAGCTCTGTCTTATATCCACAAGCCAATCCTTTGGTGGACAGGGAATCCATCAGTAGAGCCAATTGGCAGGGTTGACTGCACCTAATCAGAATTAAAGCCTCATTGAATGAGAGAGGAAATGAATACTCAATATCTACAAGTGAATTTTATTGAACATAACATAAGAAATGTTTAAATGTGTAAATGATTGTATAAATATTGATAAATATCTACTACATAGTGTTCAAATGTTGCTTTGCATATTTATTTATTTACCAACTCCCAATTCTTGTTTTTGTATTTCTGTAGTGGTCAAGAGAGTGATGAGGGTCAGGCGACACCCAAGGTAAACCCCCAGCACATTCATCTAAGTTAACAGTTTTATTGCTGATGGATAGGTTTCATCTTACTGCTTCCTTGTCAGATTCTGTTCAGTTCCTTGCTCTTGTGCTGCTGTAAACTGCATTGTTTTTAATAGAGTTCCTCTGAGATCAGCGGGCTTTTGTTGAAGTTTCGGTTTCCCAGGAGGATTGTCTTTCACACACTTTATGTGACGTCAGTTATGTGATGTCATATTTTACACTAGTCAAGAGCTGCAAAGTCCATCCCACTAAACTGAAGAAAATATTCAGTTCTATCCTCACAGTAACCTCTCTGATTACAAATGGCTATGTGGTTTGAAGTACTAACAATGCCATTCAGATGTTTGGGGTTGGGAAGATTATATTACATTTTTGAAAGTAGTCTTACATGCTCACAAAAGATAGATTTATTTGGTTTTCAGCATAATTACTACAGTCCTCTGTGTCACGCGATCCTTTAAAAGTCTTTCTAATTTGTTAAACTTATTTATAAAGTCATTTCAAATTATTATTTTTTTGTGCAAAACATTATGCATTCCAGTATTATCACTATTACTGGATAACATGTGTTTAACACTAGAATTACTGGCACAGTCATTTTGACATTTGTTTTATTGAATAACTTCATTAAACTATAAGCTTTATAATACACCCCATTTTGAACATTAATATTTTTATCCATTTCTCAGTGAATGTAGGCAATGTATTTTGGTGCATTTAAACAAAACATATTTATTAAATAGAACTGTTTTTTTAAATAATACTTTAGTCACCAAACATATTTAGAAATGGAAAAGATAATACAATTAAATTAAAGGAAAATATTGCAAAAAAAAAAAAAAAAATGCAACCTACAAAATTTCAGCTACGTTTTTTTTTTTTTTTTAATTTCCCCTCTTTTTTATTTGTATTTAATATTTTTCTATAACATAAAATTGGGTGTACAATTTTTTAACTGTTATCATAAGTTATTTTGTTAAATAAGCTCGAGATGGCTTCAGTACTGACTAATGTATATGCACAAATATAATATTGTATACAGTTGAAGTCAGAATTGTTATTTCACAAATTATGTTTAACAGAGCAAAGAAATTTTCATAGTATGTCTGATAATATTTTTTCCTCTGGAGAAAGTCTTATTTGTTTTATTTCGGCTAGAATAAAAACAGTTTTTAATTTTTTAAACACCATTTAGAACAAAACTATTAGCCCCTTTAAGCTATTTTTTTATCAATAGTCTACAGAACAAACCATCGTTTCACAAAACCTTGCCTAATTAACCTAACCTGCCCAATTAACCTAATTAACCTAGTTAAGCCTTTAAATGTCACATTAAGCTCTATAGAAGAGTCTATATAGTCAAATATTATTTACTGTCATCAAAGCAAAGGTAAAAGAAATCAGTTACTAGAAATTATTATTTATACTATTATGTTTAGAAATGTGTCAGAAATCTTCTCTGTTAAACAAAAATTGAAGAAAAAATAAACAGGGGAGCTAATAACTCTTCAAATGTAGCTTCCTATTAAAAATATGAATTTAAAAGCTAGATTTGTGAGGGGTGTACTTATATATGTTGAGCACTGTATGCTGAGCACCTTACACATTCTACCCTGACTTATATTTCATTTTAACATTGTTATTTTATTAAAATTATGAAGTAATTTTGAGTTTCTCTGCCTTGTATTTCTGGCCATAATGGTCAAATTGACTGCATGCATTTCAACAGCCTCTACTTTTTTCCTCTGCATTTGAATGTGTGTGTCTTTGTTGTCTAGCAGCTTACTGCTAACCAAAACTGCTAACCGAGCCTAGTAACTCGTACGATTATAGGCTATAGGCTAAAAATTATAGGCTATATTACCACAAAATATTGTATGATAAGGGTTATGACTAAAAAACATGATAACAGACATTCAAAGCTTAATTCTAAAACCTCAAACAGAAGCTTTGAATGTAAATATGACATGACTAAAATTTAGTTTATTACTAAATTTAGTTTTATTAAAAAAAATTTAGTTTTATTAGTATTATATGAGTTGTCGGTTGTCAGAAGGACCACAATGGCCACTCTAGTAGTTAGAGAATTCTGGTATTTCCAATGTTTATAAAAAATATACATCAAATCTTATTAACCCCAACCAGTTAATGAACGGTAGCATTCAGTATGTTGTGCTTTCAGTGTGCAGTGGCCTGTTATCGTAGATCTCTGTGTTGTTGTTTATGTTTGTGCAGTCTGCTGTGTTGTCATCTGATTATGTGGATGATATTGTAGGAGTGTTTACTGTTGTTAAAGTTAAAATTGCAATTAGACATGCTAGTTTTGCAATCGTTGTAAATGTAATAGTTTTGGCAGTCCTTGTAGCTTGTGTGTTACAGTAGTTACAGTTAAACCCCAGAGTTGTTTTCTCAGCTGTGATGTGTGTTGTTGGTTGGGAAGCTGTAGTGTGACGGTGTTAAGAGTGGTGATTGTCATTGAAGGCTCCTGGAGAATGCTGGGAGTTCCAGAGGAAGAGACAGTTCATTCTAGAACGGGCCCGGCTGGAGGCCCAGCTCGCATGCCAACAGTATGCCCTGCACATGGCACAACAGGTAAACCAGCCCAGCTAATGGATGCATCCTGTTTGACTGGCGAACACTTGAGTGAGTTCTACAATTCAAGTGGAGATGTAGTTATAACAGATGCAGCTGGTCACCCACTAATGATTCATCATTCGGTGTAAATGTCATTTATATGCACTGCTTTGTATCAGATTATTCTTAACAAGTGGTTAAGATGTTGCTTCCGCATATGCATTTTTCTTCTTTTAGTCTGTGCTGTGGTGAACTCATTCTTGTTGTAGCTGTGCTGTTGTAAATGTGCAGATCATCTCAGCAGACATAAGATGAGTCTGTGTACAGAAAAGCTCATAAGTTGTACTGTACATGTCGCTTGCATTGTTGTTCGTTAAAATCAATGTGGATCATTATTCTTGCAGCTAGGGCTGGGCGATTGATCAAAAAGTAATCGAAATCGAAATTCAGAACCTATAATCTATGTAATTTTCCCAGATTTATATTTTTTTCGAATACTTTCCCTACTGCGCTTGGAGTCACATGACCCTGCTCTGTTTATACTTTCGCGTCGAGCGCACGTGCATGGTCTGGAGGATCCTTAGCACGGTCACATACCCCTTACTGTTGCTGACGCCAGCGCTGACATGCACCTTTTTTTAAAAAAAGTAACTATTATTCATTCATTTTCTTTTCGGCTTAGTCCCTTTATTACTGTAGGGTCGCCACAGCGGAATTAACTGCCAACTTATCCAGCATGTGTTTTACGCAACAGATGCCTTCCAGCTGCAACCCATCTCTGGGAAACATTCACACACACTCACTCACACTCATACACTACAATTTTAGTCTACCAAATTCACCTGTACCGCATGTCTTTGGACTGTGGGGGAAGCCAAAGCATCCGGAGGAAACCCACGCAAACTCTGGGAGAACATGCAAACTCCACACAGAAATGCCAACTGACCCAGCCGAGGTTTGAAGCAACAACCCTCTTGCTGTGAGGCAACTGCACAACCTACTGCGCCACTGCGTCTCCTGTAATGTATTATTTACATTTAAAAATATTTGTTTACAGAAGACGCAAAAAATGCACTGTTTAATATATTATTTACAGGATATAGAAAAGTTATTTTATTTCCAAAAGATATGTATTTTCTACTTTCAATATGAAAAACATTGAAAATAATTTATGTTGTTTCCAACAGTGCAAGCTATTTATTTTCACTATTTAAAAGAAAAAAGTGATTATTCGTTTTAGGCAACGTGTGTTTTCATTTCAGTTGTTTAACATTGATGTTCAATAAATAATCATAGATGAACATATTTACTAAATATTTACATATTTTAACAAAACTTGTCCGTAAACTATGATAAAATAAAATAATCGTTCATTAATCTTAATTGAGTTAAAATGTTCAATTAATAGAGATTTAGATTTTAGGCCAAATCACCCAGCCCTACTTGCAACCCAGTTTACTTTTGTAAATGGTTGTATTTTTGATCGAAACTTGGAAAAAGTACCAGTGAGATACAAGATTTTTAAAAACTTTTCTCTCTTTTTTAATAGGTTGACAAAATAGTTCATAAAGCCACAATTCTTCCTTTTTTATCATTAATGCCATTTTGAGTCTTAAATGAAGATTATATGGAAAATGTGTCTGTCTAATATTCCTCTGAAAAGCAAAATTATTCCTCTGAGCAAATTATAACAGTGCTATGAAAAGGCTGGGTTGCACACAATTCTTTTATGTTGTCCGTAAACAAAACAATTAAGTTAGCTTAATCATTTTAAAAATTTAAGTGGATTAAACATAAAACAATGTAATTGTCCCAAAAACCTCAATAATTGTGTTGTTTCAACTCATTTTCACTAAGTAGTTTAAATAAGCGGCAAAAATAATTTTTTTGATTGTTGTAATCTTTGGGTGAACTTGTGTATTAATGTTGTTTTAGCTAAGAGCAGGTCATTATTTTAACTATATATATATCTTTTATATTGAGAATAAATTGTGGTTTGAAAAATCATCACAGTGGCCAGATACATGCTCTCATATGGCGTCTCTGCAGAGTGTGCCCTTGAAGTGTTGTCATGTTCATTTTTATGTATATAGATACACAGCATTAAGCATTTTTTTGTTTAAAGGTAAAGGGATTCAGTTTGTTGACTCAAAGTTGTCAGGTGCACCACCTGCATTTTTGGTGTGGTTAATTCAGTTGTTGAATATGGTGGTCACTCCCGTATGTTGCTGAACTGTGTGTGCAGAACAGAACTAGGCAGAAAAAGATTAACTAATTTTAGCCTCAGTATGTGAGTGCACAATTACACCAGAATTCAGTTAGATTGTGCACTTATCAACAATAAGTGAGGTATTACAAATGACTTTTTAAACCATTTTTAAATCTATTTTCATTTGCATTTGCGTCTGCTTCTCATACAGTTTATTGTTGTAATATTTGTGGTGCCATATGAATTTGTGCGTGTGTTTTCTTTAAGTGTGTTTTATGAAGTCTGACCTGTATAATATATAGAATAGAATTTTTTTTATAGACTCAATATTTATTATATATCTAAAATGTTCTTGCTATTATTACTACTGAGGATTATGCTAATTTATTTTAATCAAACAAAAGAGGAAAAACAAACAATTAGGGACCAGCCTGGGAAAGAATATCGAAGCAGAAAACAGTGATGCATTGTTTCTCTGTGTCTGAAAAGCTGGTCTGTTAATGTCTTACATCATCTCAGAAATCACATTTCTTTCTCACTCTTTTAGGGTGACGTGATTGGCCAGGAAGGAGCAGGCGATAGTTGTGAAAACCAAATTACCATGGTAAATAGTTTTGCTGACGTTTTCCTCACATGTGCTTGCCTTGATCATAATGTTCACTTTACAAGAATAAACCTGAATTTTACCTACTATAAAAAACATTTTAGGACTTTTGTTAAGTGTGTTTATATTGTACCAGAATGAAGAAAAAACTCCAGTTTCCAGCCCCACACTGAACTCACCTCCCTTTGGCCTGAAGCCTCGATCAGGTGAGAACACAGTTGTTTTATTATTATAAAGGATGCTAGCGTGCTGGTTGGCATGGGTGGGGTTGCACTTTAAAGGATGGTGCTCATATTGGGCGCTCATTGTCGGCACTTTTCAGTAGTAAAAGGGTGGAAGTGTTTGTGTGTAAAGGTCCTTTTGCCTGTGGACAACATCTGCTATCCTGTCAAAGCGTGCAATATTACGGACAGGCTTTTCATCTATTCATACTGTTATTTAATATGACTATCTTGGCTTTGGAGGCTAAACTGCATCTGGAGAGGTTTAAAAAAAAAGTAAATAGATACTGAACATGTATCATAGCATCTTTTTTAAATGTGATAGTTAAAAAAAAATAAAGATCAAGCATTAATCTACAGTTAAATAAATACAGATAAGAGCTTGCTTTACTTCATCTGGATGCAGTTTCATTGATGTAGCTTTGTGTTTAGCTGCTTAGAGGCTTCATGTTGCTTCCCCCTCTAACATCTAAGCTAGCATTTGCCTCATTCTCTGTGATCTGTTATTTATGTCTAACATTACCAGCCTTATCATGCCCCGAGTCTGACAGTTAACATAAATAATAGTCATTTGTACCGAGTGCATTAATAGCATGCCAGCAAACGTATTGAAATGCCGCTTACATTGACTTGTTTTTAATATTTTCTCTTTTTTGCTGTATGTACGTGTCATTTTGCTTTGCATATCCTCCCATTTCCTTCTCTTGTTTACATGTTTCCCTGAACTGCTGCTTGCCTGCTTGTTTGCTTTCTATTGCACAAACTACTGTTGCTTGGTTGGCACCTTCCTGTTTTCCCACTGATACCTGAAACTCCTGTGGTTTTCCAATGAAAATCACTTGTTTGACTCCTTCTGGGGCTGCCCTTTATGTTGACGCCTGCATCTACTGTAGCTTCACCCTCTGTGCCGTGCTCGACTCCGCCCTGTCCCCTCCCCCTCACACAGGCCCCGCCCACCGATAGAGACACGCCCCCTAGCCCAGCTGAAGGAGACATGCCAAGCAGTGGTAGGTCTGCTTAATGTATTGTCCTGTTCATTCACAATGCAAATCTGTGTGTTTTCTTGTCAGATGTATTTCTGGTCATTTTTTTTATACAGTCTCTATACAAAACCATCACACGCTGTGAAAATGCATACCTTTATTCACATTACATCATGCTTTTTAAAAAACTACTTGTAGAAAGGCACACAGGTTAGGACAAGGCTACACAAACATTGGAGGCTGTAAAAGTTATTTAATTTCCGGCTGTATGACAAATAGAGTCATTATTTCAAAAGGGGTATGATGATTTTCGATAGGCACTGTAAATACTGCCTGGCAAAAAAAGCAAACAGTTAGAGTCTATCAATGGATCATTGATGAAATAGTAAATATATGTGTCTGGCTTCTTTTATTTGATAACTATTGGCAACTTTAACTGTAACTGATTCAATGTGTAGCTTATTATTTCTTTGTGAGCTGTATCCTGTGACCACATTCCAGAATGGGTACTCCTATTTTCAGTACAAGATCATAACCAAAAGTTAATGTACACTACCAGTCAACAGTTAATGGTCTGTTTTTTTTTCTTATGTTTTTTTTATTTTTTTATTTATGAAAATTTTCATCAAGGCAGCATTTATTACATGTAAAAAAAGTAAAAAATTTAAATATTTATTTATTAAATATGTATTTATTACTTATTGTATGTAGTTTCAATTGACATTATTACTCCAAGCATTATTGTTTTTATTACTATTATCATTATTAATAATAATATTAATCATATTAGTTAATAATAATAACTAATAATAATTAATATTGGAGTGATTTCTGAAGGATCATGTGACTCTGAAGACTAAAGTAATGAAGCTGAAAGTTCATCTTTAAAATCACCCGAATAAGTTATTAAATTAAATAATAAACTACTTTTGACAAGTTATTTTATAGTGCAGTTATTTTATAGTGCAGTAACATTTTACAATTGTACAATTTGTACTGTATTTTTGATTAAATAAATGCAGCCTTGGTGACCAGAAGAAGCTTATTTTAAAACATTTAAAAAACCTACTGACCCCAAACTTTTGACCGGTCGTGTAACTGGTGTAACTGGTGATGGAAATGAACTGTGACGTTGCACAAGGTTGTCAAAACTTTGCTGTGATGAATGACCCCCATTGTCAAAGCAAATTAGGATCCGATGAAATATTCAGCAGTTTTTTCTACATTGGGAAGGCAGTGTGTATTTCACTTTATCTACTGCATAGCAATGGCTATAACATCTTTGCAACAAAAACCCATAGTTATGCATTACGCTCTTTTTATATTCAGATTATATAAAAACCTAGTTTTTCTGTTTTTTTTTTTTTTTAAAACTAACATTAGAGTTTAAATATGACACACTGATCGATATTTCAATCGTGGCATTTGTCTGCTGAACCGATTTTCGCATTCTTTTCAATGTTCAAATATGGAATTAAGATAAATAATAATTACCTTACAATATTCCATACAACCAGATTCAATTTAAAGGTGCAGTATGCAAGTTTGACACCCAGTGGTTAAACTATTGTTATCCTGGATCAAAACAAACGCAATCGCAGATTGCCAGATTGAGAACCAGAAGTGTGCCTGACGATTAAGCATCAAGGCTGATTTAAATCATCATGTTCTCACGACTGAATTAACACCAGTGATTCAGCATTTATCTTTAATGTTAAGAGGTTTCATATTAGATTTTAAACCTTACCATTTCGTGAGTGAGTCCATATTCTGTGCTTCGTCTGGTGTAAAGATCCAAATAGCTTATCACTGTAAATCTCGTTACATAGCTTGTTGTTATGACACAGGGTTACAATGTAACCTGCTCACCTAATGTTTATGCTTGTAATATTCATATTATTTGCTAATTGATAAACAGCTCTTGTGGAACTCTGAATCTGCATCTCATTTCGGAGGCTGCTACTGTCCACCGGAGATCGCATTTTGGTCATGGGTGCATTTTTTGATAGCCTTTCTGAATGAATGAATGAAATATGCGGTTTTACACAAAGGCAACCTGGGGTGCTGAAGTATAATTGGCTAAAGTGGCAGTGGACAATTTAAAAGAACCAAAACAAAGAGCGTTTTGGCACGTAATAGACATTTTCAATGCAGAATATCTGACTTCAGCATCGTTTTTCAGATAAACAAGAATGTTCACTTGGCATGTTTCTTAAATATCTGCAAACATACTATGGTATTTTTATGCTTTAGAAGAGTCAAAAACTTACACATAGCTCCTTTAAACAGTAAAAAAAATTAACATTTATAAACCCTAACCCTAATTTTGTTCCAAATCTGCATGATAGTCTTTTTATCTGAGGAATACACAGGAAGATATAATGAAGATTGATAGTAGCCAAACTGTGGTGTTGAACAATTATGTCTCCTTTTAGTCTCCACTGTAGAAATTAAATCAAATAGTTTTGTAATTACTATAATGTCAATAAAGACAAGTTTGCATGAAGTTCAGTATCATGTCTAAGTCAGTCACCAATGCGTTGACAAAACCTTTGCATCTAAAAATGCCTCTAAGATTTTTAATGTAGCATTCAATGGGCTTTCATTCACAGGAGTGAGAGGGGATCTGAAGGGGCTGAAATTTGGGGTGGCCCAGTGGCTTTAAATGGAGCTGTGTGTATTTATAGAGCTGCTATTTTGAAGAGCTAGATAATGGCCCCAGAGGGAAAATCAGACCTCCATTTAAGTGGAAATGCTTTCAGAGGATGAAAAATGGACGGGAGACGTGTACTTACTCACCGTCTTATGAGAAAAAAAGAGGAAGAGGGAGTGATGGAAAGAAAAAAACAATATCTGTACCAATGGGCTGTATTCAACTTTAAAATATGAGGAGGACAAAGTGGATTCTGATGGCTTTCATGTCTGTAAACAAAATGAACAGAGAAGATAACATTCTTATTGGTAGTTAAAATCAAAATCATATGCAAACAAGCCCTTTGTAAATAATGTGTTGAGATTATACAGAGATTTACTTTTGACCAAAAGGGCCATTTTGGTATAGAAGTTGTAACTTATTTTGTACAGTTGTACAGTTTTGTTCTTTTGTTTTTGACCTGTTTGTCCATAACCTTCTGGAATACTTGATGTCTACATGCACAGTGTAATAGTAAAAGCCTGAATAAAGCTGGAGTTAGAGATGTGCGCTGCTCAAGTCATGAGAAAATTACTTTGCTTTAAAAGTAAATTGTTTAAATTGTGTCAATACCTTCAAAAAAGGATAGCTTTCAGACAGTTTTCTCCAAGAACAGCACTTTTTGCTATTTGGTAAACAAACATGAATTCCTGTGATGGGCTGTCAGAAACAGGAGAAATTCAATGTAAAAAAAAAAAAAACTAATAAAACACTAGCATTCATTCAATTAAATAAGTGTGTCCTAAAGCACACTTAAATGCTTTAGACTTTCCTCTATAGCATGTGAGATTTTTTTTCTTTGTTGTTGTTGTTGTAAACAGATAAGCTGTTTAAAAGGGGATTTGATTTTCAATAGATTTGTTTCAAAATTAGCTATTTACCCCTGAATATTTTTTTTTAAGTGGCTACAAACATTTGCTGAACATAAAGAAAGGTATTATCAGAAATATTGGAAACTGGACGACATTTACATCGATAGTTACGATCAGCTACCAGTTTCTAACAATCTTCAAACTACATTATTTTTTGTTCAGAGAAGAAAGTAACTCATACAGTCATTTATTTATTTAACAAATAAGGACCCCCTACTACCAATAGGAGGTTTTGACAGATGTCAGATTTAGCCCATATTAGGATACAAATATGGGCCGGAAAATAGGTTTAATAAGGTACGAACAAGCACTCTTTTTCCTAATGCTGCCCAGAGACGTCAAGCATGTGCTTGCTTTATTACGTCAATGTCCAAGCACAGACACACTGCTTCAGGGCTTTAAACTCAGACAACAAAAAAGAGGGAGGAATGTTCTGGAATAACATCCTTTTAGTGCTCCCTTCATACTGTCCTTTTCCTTTCATTTCTTCACAGGATGAGTAGTTATGCAACTACAGCAGCACGCTCTGATGTGTGGAATGATACATTGTGCTCTTGTCTTTCTCAATATTCCTCTCTCTCTCTCTATCATGTCCACTGCTCCCCCTTCAGGGGAAATATTGTAAAATGAACAGCATTTCAGTCTCTTTAGAATTAGGGAGTGTTATTATGAGGAAAGAACTTAATAAATGTTTCTTGTTGGTTAAGAAGCATTAAGCCAGCATCTATTAACTGTTTTAGTCTCTTCATGTTGAATTGCCACATGTAACTTAAAGCTTTTGAGTTTGAGCATTCCATGATTGAAAATTAATGGTGTGTTTTTATTTTTGTGAATGTGATAGGAGATATAAGGTGCTGTGTGCAGACTGGTGACGCTTCAGTTGTGTGACAGTGTTTTTCAGGACGCACAAGACTCTGGAATCTGTGGATCCTCAGTTCACCATGAGGAGAAAGATGGAGCAGCTAAGAGAAGAGCTGGAGCTCACAGAGCAACTTCGAGAGGTGCACAGACATTCTCATATAAAAAAGATGTGTGTTTTAAATATATTAGTTGAGATAAAGTTGACAGAATATATAGCAATACAGTGACCCCACAGGGGACATGAAACACACATTTATATATATTTACAAATGAGGTTGAATGTAGAATGTTAACTCAATGTTGTTTTTGACAGAGTATTGAGAGCAGACTGAAAGTGGTTCTTCCTGAGGATCTGGGATGCTCTCTCAGTGACGGGGTCGTGCTTTGTCACCTAGTCAATCACATTCGGCCGCGATCAGTTGGCAGTATTCATGTACCATCACCTGCAGTGGTGAGACATCCTTGAATTATCCATAAAGCATACACACTAACATCGTGGGTCACCTTTTGGGGTGACTGATTTTTCCAGTTTTTTTATTTTTATGAAAGGCTCTAAGTGTGCTATATGTATTTGATTAAAAATACAATAAAATAAAAACTGTATTAGTGTGAAAAACTATTTTAGATTTTAAATAAAACTTATCAATTGAAGTAGAAGTGAAAATCAAAACATTTTATGGCAAAGCTGAATTTTCATTACGCCAGTTTTCAGTGTTACATTATACTTTGGAGACCTTATAATAAGCTGATAAAGACCTGAAGAATCATTTCTTGTTATTATGAATGTTGAGAACAGCTTAATATTTTTACTGAGATTTTAATTGTAATCAAAGAAGTCACTTTCTGTTAATCAGTGTTTTTTTTCTCTCTCTCTTTTCTTTGTACCCTCTGTCATCTCTGCATGAACAATGTTAAACCTCCAGCCCAAGCTTAGCATGGCTAAATGTCGCAGAAACGTTGAAAATTTCTTGGATGCCTGCAGAAAAATGGGAGTCCCTGAGGTGAATATTTTTTATTTTTTTATTAAATTCTTTTGGTGAATGCCAAATGAACTAGATCTGTTTTTCAAGGACCACTGTTGTACAGACTTTGCTGTACTTGTCTCTCATGTACTGTCCTATGTAGCATTCATTTACTGACAGACTATTTATATGTAAATGAAAAAGTGTTGAAAGCTTTTAGAAGAGAAGTTCATCACAGATCAAAAAATACATTTTAGCATGATTGAATGAAACCAATCATAATTAAAGAAAACAGCTCTTTTCCTATTATATTTCATTTGTAAAATGTCATTTTTAAGTTTGATCTTGACAAACAGCTTCTAACATTGCATTTATAGTTTTAAATACCTGTTTTGTATTCATGTTATCTACTTGAGGAATACTGTAACTGCCCTGAGGCATGACCGCCAACTGTCATGTTTTGCATTTAAGGGACATTTGTCTAATTTTAATTTGGTAATCATAATATTAAAAAGTCCCTGTGATGTTTCTATGAACTTCACAGGATCACAGTCAGACTCTACAGGGGAATTTCTGCAGAGTTTCATTCAATACTGATCTTAAATCTCAGTCTGGGAAACCTGTTTGGTTAGATCGGTTCCCTTTTTCTGGAAATAGACCCGAAAACACAGGGCTCTTTGAAAACAGATCCTAGTTTAATACATGTTATGACTTGATTTTGATCATCATACACCCCTAATCTGATTGGCTAAAGAAGCTGAGATAGTCTCACACTGGTCTAAGATCAGTTATGCCCTTAAAACTCTTTGGAGTCATTTCTGTTTTGCTTATAAACTTCATGAATCAACAAGAACTTGTAGTCTTTGGGGATACTGATCATAGAACAGCATCATTACCACGACTTCATATTACCCTACTACAGCTGCACATGGCTGTTGTATCAAGCCCAAAGTTTACTTTGGTTTTTGCCTGTAATTATTTAGTAATATGATTTTAGCCTGTAGTCAATGTACACACAGCTTACCCATTGTTTTTGCATTGCTTAGTTTTTCAACTAGACGTCAACACCAAAGCCTGTTATTTTAGAGTATGAAAAGTAGAGGACGTGGGAAAAAGAACAGCAGCAAACTATTTAATAGAGCAAAAAACAATAGAAGACCACATTGACAATGGATTAAAAAATATCCGAATTCTACTCTTAAAAACATTTTATTGCTTATAACTCTTTGAATTGCACACACTGGTTTAGGATAAATCTTGTTGAAATGTTTCGATAATAAAACTACATAAAGGCTGTGCATTTGACTGCATTTGCAAAACAAAGTATAGTTTGGGCTTCAATATCATCATCATCACCATCATCATCATCATCATCATCATAACCATCATGGCTTTAGGCTTCATCTGTTTCCAGGGCTTCATTCCATCCTGTTAATGGCTCTGACCTGCTCTCTGGTAAATGATTGTTTCCTTGTACTGTGAGAACAGATAAAACTCACAATAGACCTCATTCATGAGACTGGACAGAAAGCATGTCTGTGTAAACCCTTCATAAAAACCATTATTTCAAACAATCAGTGGGATGATTTACGTAATATGGGATCCTTAAGCCATAAACAGAAGGTGTGTTGTTGAAGTGATGTGTCTCAGCTTTTGTGTGTATAAGCCCAGTAATGTTTGTTGGTCAATTTTGGTCCATGTTATATGTAAACTATATATATGCTATATAGATGCACATTGCATTCTTGATGTAACAGTGCACACATTTCTAGTGGTTGTGCCATCCAACCCGCCAAAAATGAATGAGCTTTTTGGTAGAAATTGTCTTCTTCTTTATGTTTTGAGTTTGGTCCAAGCCATTCATAACAGGCTGTTCTAATTAGTGTGTTTTAAGGGAAGCTTGATGGTCTCATGGATTGTTCATTTACAGTAGTAGCAACAGCTACAACAAGTCTGCATGGCAGTTGCCTTTGTCGCTGTGTTTTTTTGTTTTTTTTTTAGCAGATGTTTAACAGGCTAGTTTGTTCTGTTAGTGTGCTTAGGGCTAAGTCTTGTTTGTTAGTATCATCACTGCTTTGATTAACCTGTAGTGCAGTCTGGTTGTTGAATTATGCTGTTGTCCAGCTTGGCCTGCTCTGCTCTGCTCTTTTACTGGCTTTTGATGCTTTTTCAGTGCTGTAGTTTGACTTGTGCCTGGCGTTCGCTCCCTACTGCACATGCTCTGCTAACTACCATGTCACCTGTGCACCTGCTAACAGCATCTGCCCCGGCTCACATCATGCCAGATACTGCTGCCTTCTAAAAGAGAGACAATGAGTGAACACCGAATGTTCAGCCAGAAACTTTCAGAAAGCAGTAAGGTCATTCTCTGGAAATGGTGCAATTTGTACCTGTAAATAAATGGCTTTTTTCCCCACTTCATCTTAAAAGATAAACCATATTCAGATAAAAAATCAGGGGTCACACTTTACAATAAGGTTCATTAGTTAATGTTAATTAATGCATTTACTAACATGAACAAACAATGAACAATACATTTACTACAGTATTTGTTCATGCTAGTTTATGTTAGTTAATGAAAATACAGTAGTTCATTGTTAGTTCATGTTAACTCATGGTGCATTAACTAATGTTAACAAGCATGGACTTGGATGTCAATAATGCATTAGTAAATGTTCAATTATGATTAATAAATGCTGTACATGTGTTGTTCATGATTAGTTCATGTTAGTAAATGCATTAACTTATGAACCTTATTGTAAAAGGTTACCAAATCATGGATTTTTGTTTGTCACTACATTTTTATTTTTAATCATTAAAGAGTATTTTTCTGAGTTATTTTCTGAACTTTTCTTAACGCTTATATTTATGGTTAGACAATTTTTTTAGCTTAATTGTATTGTTTATATGCTCATCAAGTCAAATGCAGATAGTATCATATCTATTTATCAATAAATAATAGTCAGAAAATTTGATATTTGGCTTATGTGAACCCTGTTTATGGAAAGAAATCAAACTCATATTCAGCATGGATGCATTACATTCAATAAAAGTGAAATTAAATACATTTATTATATTGCAAAAGATCCCTGTTCCACTACATCATTTAGATCTTTGCATTAAATGTGCTTTATGTACTAAAGCATAAAAGTACCATAAAATGTTTGCAGATATTTCAGAAACATGCCAGGTGAACATTCTTGTTTATCTGAAAAACAATGCTGAAGTCAGTTATTCTGCTGTGAAAATGTCTATTACGTGCTGGAATGCTATCTTTGTTTTGGTTCGTTTGATTTGTCCACTGCCACTTTAGTCAATTATATTTCAGCACCCCGGGTTGCCTTTTTGGAAAACCGAATATTTCATTCATTCATTCAGAAAGGCTCTTAAAGCATGCGTCCGTAAAAGAAATGCGACCTAAAGTGGACAGTAGCAGACTTCAAAATGAGACACAGATTTATAGTTCAACGTGAGGTGGTTATTAATTACCACATAATATAAATATTATGAGCCTAAACATTAGGTGAGCTGCACTGTAACCCTGTGTCCTAACAACATGATACGTGACGAGATTTGCAGTGATAATTTAGCACCAGAGAAAACATGACAGAAATTTAAATAGTCTTTCAGAAGCACAGAATAGTGCACTCTCTCACAAAAAGGTAAGGTTTATAATCTAATTAATACATATTAAACCTCTTTAATATTATTAAATTTATTCTAAAGTTCAATTTCAAACTTTTTATTTTATTTTCAAGATCTGAGTTGAATTATCTGTTGCTGCTTTTCAGTAGTATGGCAATAAATGTAATGTAAAATGGCATTCAAGCTCACATTATTAGCATTTAACAATTAAAGCACATGAGGTGTAGCTGAGGTGATCATTGTCAGTTTTCACCTGTTGTTCACCTGTGAGAAATAGAAGTCGTATTTAACAAATACTCTGCGCTTGCGTTTGTTTTGAGTTCAACCACTGGCTGTCAAACTTACATACTGCACCTTCAAGAATATTTATTTAAAAAACTGAACGCATTTCATTGCATTCAACAAGGGATTTGTAATCATATATATATATATATATATATATATATATATATATATATATATATATATATATATATATTAAACTTGTTTAAGGATGAAAATAAGAATAAATATTTAATTTTTAACTGAATATTTCAGTACATACTAGATCAAATTTATAGCATGTAATTTAGCTTAGTATGTTGCTGCTATTATTTATAAAGTCACGGGAGAACACTTTTATAAAACAAAATGCACCATTTACTGAAAAAGACTAATGATCTTTGGCGTTCATTGAGCACAAAGCACTTTACCTTTGACCTTTGTCTAATCATCTTCCTTATCTTTCTCTGGTGCTGGACGGATGATCTCTCCCTTTCTCATTTCACTTCTTATTTGATTTTATTCTCCATTTATTTCTTCCTTCATTCACTCTTCACTATTACTCTGTTTTTTCCTCCCGCTTCTTTTTCATCCCTTTGTTTTAACTTTCTCTCAGTCCTCTCTCTGCTCGGCTTATGACGTTCTGCAGTGTAACCTGCGTCCGCTCTGGGCCGTGGTCGCGGCCTTGCTTATGGTGGAGAGCACAGGAACAAGGCACATGGAAGGAAAGGTGGAGGGTGGCAGGGAGAAAGAGACAGAGGTCAAGAAACTTATCCCCGAATCCACCCAGACTCCACCCCCTTCCTGGCAAATATGGGATCTCATTGGCTCGAGTCTGCTGCACGTTTTCTGTCTGGTGATGCTGTTTGTGGCCTACAGCTGGAGCGAGTTTAAATAACATACACGAAATACACACAGTGTAAATCTCACTTGGTCTTAGAAAGCACACTGAATGGCCACATTTAAAGGGATAGTTCACCTAAAAATGATTATTTACTCACCAGTGGCACCCACAGAAAATTTTCTTAGGGGTGGCCAAGTAAGGCCACACCAAATCTTGGTGTGGCACTCAAAAAAATGATGAGTTCTGTATATATTGTGAATAATAAGTAATGTTATATTTTTGTTCCTGG